GCGACTCGGACGCGCCGACTATATCGCGGTTTATCGTGCGAGCTTAACGTCTTGTTCGATAGTCATTAATCCGCGCAAATCTGTTATGTGAGCGACAATCCTGTGCTTCCTATCGTACCACCTAGTACGTTGTGAACTAAACCGTGTGAAATTAATGTCGATTGTTTTGCGAAGGTGCCTCGCTTCGAGAGTTCGCGTGGTTCTCTGCGGGGAAATATTCGCTCGGAGAGAAGAAGGAAGGAAGACGAAATGATTTATGTTCTCTCCACGTACAGAATATAAACATCGTATATACGCACAAAAAATTGCGCACTGCATTCAAATCACTGTCGTTTGTTTCGAGTATTTTTGCAGTTTATATATTCGCAATTTCGCGTCACAAATTCATCATAATTATATATTAAATTTATTCAAGAGAGAGAAATGCATTTTGAATCTTAATAATAAGTTTGGCATTTCTCAACAAAGAATATTAAATTGAAGCAAAAATTCGGTTTGCTTACTATATAAAGTCGAAGCAACGCGGAGAGAATTTCATAATAAAAGTTAGGATTCTGTCGTAACTGATTGTTATTTCGTCTCACGTGTGCTACTTATATTTTAAGAAAGGTTCTATTAACAAATTTGCTATATTTCTAGCGAAATTTACTATATACCTTAGCAAGGTATACCTTACTGACGTACCTTATGTGAGACTTACTATTCCTGGATTATTACAAACCTAATAAAATTGAAAAGCATTTATTTGAAAAGAAACTATAATACTCTCTCCGTATATAGTTTCATAATATTCTTACAAATAAATTCTTCTTTCAAGCACATAATAATGAGCTTTTCTCAAATTTCTGACAAGTACTTTTGAAGACCATTATCAAGAAAACATTGGTCGTTGAAGATAACCATTACTTCAAAGAAGGAGAGCAAAGTGAGCATTCGCTTTCTTAGCGGCAGAATAATATTTTTCTGTGTGTACGAGCGAGATAAATAAAAACAGGCTCGACTACACGGGTAATTTCGCGGTGAGAAAAGCCCACAGGTGATAAAAAGCGACACGTTATCGATGTCTCGCGCTGAGTGTTGATTCGAGTATAGTTGGAAATTCTCCAAGGCGCGCACCGACTCGCCGTGCACAACGCGCGTATGTTAATATCAGATACTTCTGTGAACTTCCGTTTGATTAATTAACGCCATGGTGGGGAGCATCTACCGTTCAGGGAAACCTCCGCCACGCGCACAAATGTTACACGTGCACATTAACGCATCTCATTATTTTTGTGGGCGTAGCATTCTGCTTTGAAGGACGGATTAAATGGTCGTATCCGCGCATTATGCAATTTGTGCGTTTGCACGGCGTTTGCGCGTTGCACGTGAATTTTCCCATAATCGTCGCGTTACAGCTTAACTGCATGCAAAGAAGGCGAATGAGCCGAGCGAATTACGCAGATCTCGGCCGGTAATTTTCGCGTCAAGATTCCGCACTACCGAGTCTCTTCGCACGCGCGAGCAATCGTCACGAGTGGATTTCCGAAAAATCAACAATTTCTGTTGAACTTCTTAAGTAACACCTCTTAACGCAGGTCTCTTAATCGAACGCGCTCCTGTTGTAAACGTCGCTCGCTAATCGCGGCTGGAAACGCTATCAGTGAGTGAATGACATCGAAACATACACACATATACACATCGTGAATGAGATATTATCTATATTAATATGTTACCTCGCGCCTCACTCGCCAATAGATTCTCTCCTCCTTCCGACGCGGAATTCATTTCAATTTTATTTCGCTCAACGCGAAAATACCAATTCGCCGCTATATGCTTGATTGCAGAATTATTTGCACATTTTTTTGTTTTATCGAATAAAGTTGCAACGCTTCAAGTTGTCATAATTAAGAGAAGTGCCGCCGCAGGTGTACGTGCGTAATAATCGACTGTGACAGAAATCGAAGTGACAGCGCGGGGTGTGATAATAAATTTAGAAAGGATAATTATTTTATCTTAAAGTAGGAGATAATTATGTTATTTTATTACACAGGTCAACAAATTAAAGGGTATTTAATATCACATAAAACTTTATATTGATTTCCGAAGGAATTTGGTGCACTGAATCCAAATCTGGCCTCAGAATGGTTCCATCACGTCAGGGTTTTGAGATATTCTAACCTAAAAGTGCAAAAATGGCTGTTTTAGAGCATTATTGAAGTTTCCTCCTGGTTGCATAGAAATTTACCGACAAAAACTAAATAAAGTACCGTAAAGTACGAGTCTTGCCCTTCAATTTTCATTTTGGAACGTCCAAAAAGGATTTTTTTTCACCGAGATATAGCAGATTTAAATTTTTACTGCATACAGAAAATCAAATAAAGCGATGAAGTCGGTTCATTTGAAATACCTTAACCCTTTTGGTTTTGAGCAATTCTGGAAAAAAGAGTTTGTAGTTCAAAGGGTCCCGAGGGTCGCTGCTCACGAATCTGGACTCAGATTTCCAAAATTGAAGATAACGGATCCAATATGAAATTTCCAAATCCGAAGAATCCAAAAGAATTTTGTAAATCTGAGTCCAGATTCGTGAACAGCGACCCTCGGGACCTTTTGAACTACAAACTCTTTTTTCCAGAATTGCTCAAAACCAAAAGGATTAAGGTATTTCAAATGGACCAACTTCATCGCTTTGATTTTCTGTATGCAGTAAAATCTGCTGTATCTCGGTGAAAAAAAATCCTATTTGGACGTTCCAAAATGGAAATTGAAGGGCAAGACTCGTAGTTTACAATATTTTGTTTAGTTTTTGTCGGTAAAATTCTATGCAACCAGAAGGAAACTTCAATAATGCCCTAAAACAGCCATTTTTGTACTTCTAGGTTAGAATATCTCAAAATCCTTACTTGATGGCGCCATTCTGAGGCCAGATTGGAATTCAGCGCACCGAATTCCTTCGGGTAAACCTCTTACTTCTTTTGTGATAAAAACCTTATAAACCTGTGTCATTTACTCTGTTTTATTTTAAAGTATTTTATCCTTTGCATGTTAAATATAAAGGATCTCTTTATTAATTATCTTTTAAATTAACTTTTTATTTTACTTTGAAGTAGTTTTTAAAAACTTCTCCAAAAACAATTTTTAATTTTTAAAAATTATTCTAAAATAATTTCTTTTTAACAATTTTTTTATTTTACTTCGAGATAATTTATATACATAGTCAAATGTTTGTCTGTGCATGTTTCCTACTGACTTCTAAATCCTTTGATCGATTTAAATCAAATTTTGCATACTTACTCTCTGAAACCCTGCGATAAGTATCGACTACACGAAACTTAGGTACTTTATGCCTTCCCGCTGATTACATCCCCTTGACACTTTGTGATAATTTAAGTTTCGATGTTATAGATACAAAAGAGGCAATGCCAAATGGTTTAAGCTAGCATTTAATAAAGTATAATAACACGACTATATACTGAATGCAAAGTGGTTGTGGCAACAAAAGCGTCGCGACCTCATTCGACAAAGTGTGCAAATCGTTTTGCGACTAAAGAGTACACGTCCCGATGGACGTGTCAATATTAGAAACGATCATGTCGATCCACTTGTATCGGAAAAAGTCGGACGAAACCGTTAAACTGACATCTATAACCACTATAATTAGCGCGCGACAGCTGTGGTCTTAGCGGAATATTACAATACACGAAAATACGCGTAAGTAAGCGTGTACTTGCGATCGATAAAACGCGGGCGATCTCTACCAATCATCGCAGCTGGAAATTCCACGTCCTACGAATTGAGGTTCAACAAGTTCGCCGTAAGAGTCAACGATACATATCGCGTAGGCCAAACACGTGTAACATTTCCGCGGAAAAAACGCACGCGATCTTCCTTCTTGTTATCCTCCTGGTGTGAGAATCGCGTAAACCGATCGCATATCGTCTATGATCGTGAATCATCGCCGCGAATTATCGCCACTACAACTTGCACTTATTTATGAGGTATACAGCGTTCCATATCTGATAGCAAAATCGAAACCGATGATTAATGAGCCACGGTATAACGCAACGACGTAGTCCACGCGCGACGAGAGAACGCGGCTTCACTCACGATACTGATCGCGATACGCCACGGATATCGCTACTTGACGATGGAGGATATCAAAAAAGATATCAAGAACCTCGAAAATCACCGAACGAGCCGGTTCGAGATATACGCCAAGTCATCCTCGTGATATGTACATTTTATTCGTCGAGCATTTGCTAAATATGGCGAAAACGTCATCATGGATACGCATTTTCGTTATTGCTTAATCTTCAGAGAAGAATATTTTTAATGAAACCCAGATTTAGTAAGATAGTTAAAAAATTAGCGGAATCTCGTTATTTTGCATATTTGTGTATCTAAACAGCGGGCGTTCGGTTCTTTCAAATGCTAATAGCTTCTGCAAACTGAGAAAAAATGTTTGACATTCGCGCGTAATCATATAGATAAATATATATAAATTATATATATTATATATATATAATAATATATAATTATATATATAAATTTATAAATATATATATATAAATTTTATATATATATATATATATATATATATATATTAAATTTTACTATATTATTGGTAATAATAATGCTCATATATATGCATGTTACTACAAAAAATATGATTGGGGTTAAAAATAATTGTAATTTTAGTTAGATCAACCGATCAGAATTTCTCTCAGTATGAGAATCAAGTCTCGTATGAAATGTCTTACATAAAGTAAAAGTACAAATTGTCGGATATGTGTCTGGATCTTGAACATGTAATCCTGGACTTTTTATTTTTTATCTTTAAATACGAATATTTAAAGTTTCAACGTAAAATATGTATGCATACATTCTAAGTTTAAATATTCGCATTTAAAAATCAAAACGATAAAAATGTCCACGATTAGATACATGTTCGGAAATTAATACTTTTACCTTGCATCGTCTGTCTTTTATTGCCTTGTATAACTTTTCTTTTATTCTCGCAGGATGTTCTCCAGGACTCGAGAAGAGTATCGACCAAAGGATACCAAAATGAGTGAGTACATTTCGATACATTTAGTTTGTTTTGTAAATATATCAAAAATAGTTGACAGTTTTGATTTAATCAAATATGATGTACTTATTAAAAATTATCTAACATCTAAGACGATATTATCGCATATCTGAATGAGAAGTCAAGTGAGACATGTAATTCAATTTTGAAACGGACGTTTAAACATTGAGAGAAATACGCTTGATATTTGTAACTATGATCTCATATAGAATAATAATTATTATAAATTATTAAGACAACAATTTTTTAGTTAATTACACTATACTTTTAGTGATAATATTCTTATACGTTTTCTAATACTACTATCTTCGTGTTGAAACAATAAAAAAATATGATTTAAGTCCAGTTGATCCCAATTGGACTCCAACTATATTTTTAGTTTATATTCCAACACGAAAATAGTAGCATGCATATAATATCACGCATGCATATAGTATCATTAACAATTATATTACAATTGACTATGAGATGATTATTTTGATCATAATTTATAATAATTTTTCTGTATGATTACAGTTACAAATAATACAAACATTTCTCTCTCAGTGACAAATTTGCCTCGTCACTTATA